CTTTTGGTGTATTTTTTGAGAAATTAAATTCTTAAATGTAAATCAAAATGAGAGAAATGTCACCAATCCCATGATATTATGCCCATATTTTCTTCTCCCTTCTATTAAATTATTTAGCATATAATAAAAATTTGAAAATGTTTTTGAACTTTAAAGTTGTAGAAATGTAGTTGATGGTGAGTTTGCAGATTGCCAAACCATAAGGTCTAGTTTAAAGAATACACACACACACACACACACACACACACACACACACACACACACACAATGCAACCAAGATCCAAGTTCTATGTGGTTTAATTTCTTTTTCCCTGTCGGTCCAAAAACAGAAAGTGCAGATGTCTCCCTATGATACTAGCAACTCAAACGAGGAAGGGAAATTTGGTTATAATTAGGATGAGCTAATTTGTTGAGGATTTGCTGGAGTGCCTGCCTGCCCCACCGCTTGCCACAGCTCTTTCTCCTGTAAGATTTGTTGACAGGACCTGTGATACTGAGAGTTAAGTTTGAAAATTCAGCCTGACTTAGCGGAGGAGAGGAAAGATTCATTTCTATGCCACTAAATGCCTCATCAGGCTCCTGAACCAGAGTAAAAATCCAGTACTGACGTTTGACTGCAATTTGCAGATTTGGAAAGATTCCTGTGGTCAGCGGAAAGGAAATCTGCTCTGTGGTGGTGTCCTATCACCAGGGCTAGGGGTTTACTTGACCTGCAATTCTGTGCTGTCACATTTACAGCCTGGATTGAAGAAGGTTGAGAAGGAGGTGCTGAGGAAGGAATTGAGCTTTGGGGCAGGAATTAAAAAGGGGCTCCAGCAAGGAGTTAGGTTTCTTGAAACTGTTTACTTACGGTGGGGGCTGTGGAAGACCCGCCTGTATCATCAGGGTCATTTGAATCATTCGGAGATGTTTGTACTGCAGAGTCTATTACAGATCCCTCCAGCCTGCCCTTGGCTAATTACATTTCCAGATTTAGGCTGAATATTTGCAGATTTTTCTTCTCAATAGAGAGACCACTGTCTAAGCAATAAGTAAAGTTATTATTTATGGAAGAAAGGTACACATCACCAGCCACTTATGACCTCATAGGAATGTTGATTCGAGTTTTACATTCGAAGGGGAAGGCCATGGGTATGAATGTTAACGGAGACCTCTGCATGCATGTAGGTTCCCTGTTAAATACCAGTCCTTGGTCACAGTAGCAGTAGCTGACAGAGCCTTTGGAAAAACAAAGTCTGTACTCTCCAGGCCAATAGCACTGTCTTTAAAAGCCCTGCGTCTTCTCCCTACATGGTGTGTTGTGGATGAGACAGTCAATGGGCAGAGGGTGCAGACCTGAGTCAAAGGCTAAGTATGAGTGGAATTTCCTTCAGCAATGAAAGAACCTTGTAAAAGTGAGAATAAGGTCATCACCATTGCACACAAGGAGCGTATCTTTTAAAAACGTTTTAAAGGAAGAGTTACTCAGCTTTTAAAATATGTCAGTGTCAAATTGTATCACTCAAATTCGACACAGACACCCTGTTTTTTCATTCTTCTGTTGCCATAGAACGTTCATCTATCAGTCCGTCTCCACAAAAAACAAAAGCACAGGATTCCTTTTTCTTTATTGACTAAACGGTGTCTGTTGCACCTGCTAGGACTTCACAAATGTTTGGTTAACAATGATACATCAGATTGACTCAGGATGTTTTACATTGCGTTTCTCCGTCCCATTATATTTCTACAAAATTGATATTGTGCCAGGGCTTTTTGCCATCAGTATTTTATCAGCTGTGCAGAGCTGAGAGTGTTTGCAGAGAGCACTGCGTAACCTGTCGGTTCTAGGAAGAGTTCTTGACGTATGCTTTTCTGGTACTGAAAAGCTAACGGAAGCTTAGCAAATGCAGCTTTATCTTATTTTCTGAGGGCAACATGGAAAATGGCCCAAAATACTTTCCAGCAATCAGGTCCTATCTGATTGGAGTGGCACATTTCTGTAAAGAACAGCCCTGCTTCCTGTGTACTGTAGAGTGAATTAAATTCACTTTTATATTGATGAGATGACGGTAACGCATTCATTTTGGGTAACTGTTGACAATAAAAGTTTTCACTATTTTTGACATTTTCAAAGGTTTGTTTATTGGTTGGCTTGCTTATTCCCTTTCATTTTTTATACTGTTTATTTTGTGTGTGTAGAAGGGGGGTGTAAAAGAAATTTCACAAAGAACAGTATGACAATAGTACCAGAAAAAAAGGATTTTTTAAAAAAGAAAACTTACCCACAATCCTATCACACTCCAACATTTCTTAATTGTCCCTTCTTTATTTCAGATCCTTTGCTTAAATAGTTAACCGTTATAGAATTTGTGTCTTTTCCTAAAAATTGAGGTTAAGTGTTTTATCAACTCTGTTTTATCTAAAGACAAACATGTATCCGTCATTTTTAATATCAGCTGTTTGCTAATGTTGTATATCACATGTGCAGCTTTCACATGATCTTAAATCATTACGAAATTCAGTAAATTTTCATTTCTGAGCTTTTTAAAAATTGGTAGTTGTCCCTAAATCTTGAATAAAAACATTTAAATGTTAGAGAAGGTCAACATTTAGTAACACCTCAGTTCCCCCCAGCTTTCCCCCCCGACACACACACACCTCAGTTGACCTCTATTTAACTTCAGTGTTTTACTTTTTAAAAATATATATATTTTTATTGATTTCAGAGAGGAAGGGAGAGAAAAGAGATAGAAACATCAATTATGAGAGAGAATCATTGATTGGCTGCCTCCTGCACACCCCCTACTGGGGATTGAACTCACGACCCTGGCATGTGCCCTGATCAAAAATTGAACTGTGACCTCTTGGTTCATAGGTTGATGCTCAACCACTGAGCCACGCTGGCCAGGCAGTGCATTTCACTTCTTGATTCTTTTTTAAGCAGTACACTTTCCTACCTCATCTTCTATATGTATTATATGAGAAATAGCTTGTCAAGGGTTAGTTGTAGAAATTAATACACATTTGATTGATAGAAATATTGATACCTTTTGACTTTGGAAACCAGAATATTGACAACATTGGAGATGGCATTCATCTGTATTTCCAAATTCTCCACCAAGTATTTGTGAAGTGCCATGCTTGGCCTTCTGTCAGGTTTTGTGGAAAATACTGATGTGCAAACTTTATCGTTGCTGTAAGGAACTTTTCACTCATCTTTGTTTTTCTTTAGGATTTTTCTCTGTATTCTTTGAGCTGCTTTCAATATCAAGGACTTGCGTTTGCAATGATATGTGAATAATGTTTAGCGAGCTAGCTTTATCTACTAGGTTTATTGTGAAATTAGATTATTCACATCCCAGACAAACATCTGTTATGAGCAACTAGTCGTTTAGATTTAGTATAGAAAATTTATCTTTTTTATTTATTATTTTTAAATAAAATAATTTTTAATAATAGAGTTATTTTAAACAGAGATTAAGGTTGAGAACTGTTTATAAGGTTATTTTCTAGGATAAGAAACCTCTTATTTCTCCCTCTCCCTTCCTCTCTGAAATCAATAAAAATATTTAAAAGAAACCTCTTAAGTTCTTTGGAGAAGATTCCAAGTTGTGACCTCATGAGTTAAGGTTATTGATAATGAATGTCATAAGATTGAAGGGGATGGCACTCAACCTCTAGTTCAGTACAACTGGCAAACTTGAATTTGAACTTCCAAAAAAATAATACAATTGATTTTATGCACCAATAAGCTGCATATACTATTATATTCCCTATTCCTTAGTTATTTCCTAGTCTGCTGAGTTATATGTCTCTGTAGACAAGGCCATGTAGATTTTGATTTGTGTACTTCTTTTGCACATAATTTGTACATATTCATTGGAGATGAATTAGAAATACACATTAGGAATATAATGAATATTATATGAAATACACAGGAATAAAACTTAGCCCACCACCCAAAGATCACTAATGTTAATATTTTGGTATAGTTTGCTTTAGCCTTTTTTGCTGTAATAGGTGCATTTTTTTTTCTTACCTAAATCCAATTTTTGTTTTATAACCTAATATTTTTTTTCAGTGCTAAGTTTTTTGGGCCTGTTTAGAGTGGGGATGGGGGGGTGAGACTTGCTATCTACTTATTCATTGCATTTCAAAAGAACACATAAAACTTGATAGGGACTTTGGGTTAGTAAATGTATTTAGAAATCTCAAGTAACTATAAATAAGCATGTGTATTTCACTACAAATTCATTCTTAAAGCATAGTAGGATAGCAGTTTTAGTTAGAAAAATCCAAGCATGTTTTGGGGGAAATCTTTTTCTTCTAAAAGGTTCAAATGACTCCACATAAAAGACAAAGTGGAACAGAATGAAATGAAAACAGAGAAGCTAAAACACATATTTGAAATGCATGTTCATATCCTGAAAACACATATTTGCTAAAGCTGTAGAATACATAATGATGGTGAATTTACCTGCCTTTCCCATAGCTGGCCTGCAAGTCTTCTAAAGCTGGAGACCATATCTATGTACCATCCATTCTAGACTTACTCTTAGCACAATTCCTGGCAGATAGTAACACCTACATAACATGAGTTGAATGAATGACTGAAGAAAAAAAAAGAAAAAGAGGACCAAAAAGATGGGGTCCTTCACCCCTTCCTTGTAGTGAAGACCAGTTAACCAACTTACGGAAAATAGATTTATCAGCATATCTTTAAAAATTATAGCAACAAAAATGGCAAATCTTTTTTAATCACTCCAGGCTCCTACTCCTTTGCGCCCCAAATAAGCCATTGTCTCAGCCCCTTATAAAAGGGCACATCTAAGTGAACTCTGAGAAATTCCCCGCTTTGGCTCATGAAGCCCTCCTGATTGCTCTCGGCCACACCTCTCGCAACTAGTGAACAACAGCAAAAATCCAGGCGCCTTAATTGAGCTGAGACGCTAGGCCTCGGATTGGAGGGATGATGATGCCAGACCAGCCTCTAAACGCCCTCCCTCCTCTCTCTCCCTCAGGTTGACTTTTTCACCATGATCCCCTGCAGAGCAGCGCTGTCTTTTGCCCGATGTCTGATCAGAAGAAAAATCGTCGTCATGGACGGCCTAGAAGATTCCAAATTAAGCCGTTGCTTATCCACCATGGACCTCATTGCCCTGGGGGTTGGAAGTACCCTCGGTGCTGGGGTTTACGTCCTGGCTGGGGAGGTGGCCAAGTCGGATTCAGGCCCCAGTATCGTCCTGTCCTTCCTCATCGCCGCCCTGGCTTCGGTGATGGCCGGCCTCTGCTACGCTGAATTTGGGGCCCGAGTTCCCAAGACGGGGTCCGCCTATCTGTACACGTATGTTACCGTTGGCGAGCTGTGGGCCTTCATCACCGGCTGGAACCTCATTTTATCCTATGTGATCGGTAGGTTTCCCAAACTCCAGCTAATTGTGTGGCGTGGTAGCATAGCACTCCCGAGTCCCAGGCCTTGGGGCTCCCTTGTAGGTCTGCGTTGGTTAATGACCATGGTCTGGAGTGTGAGAATCACATGATCCTCGCGTGCCTCCTTTTTCTCATCTCTACAATGTCTCTCCTTCTCACTGCACAGCTGGGCAATTCTGCCTCATCTCTGAATACGCCGCTTAGTGGATTTACAAACCTCTTTTCAAAAATACAGCTCTTTAGTGCAAATAAAGTTACCTGATTCCGCAGGTGATGGATTGAGCATTTGATTACTAGGTTATAATTATAATATTATGAAATAATTGTATGTGGGATGAAAATGGTCAAGTCAATCTGAACTAACTAACCCATGTGTCTCCTAGAATAGAGTAGCAATTGATGTCATGGTCATTTTCGCCCCGTGACCGTGTATTCTCTGAATGTCCTGTGTTTTGGGAAGGTACATCAAGTGTTGCAAGAGCTTGGAGTGGCACCTTTGATGAACTTCTGAACAAACAGATTGGCCAGTTTTTCAGGACGTACTTCAATATCAATTATACCGGCCTTGCAGAGTATCCGGACTTCTTTGCTGTCTTCCTCATATTGCTCCTATCAGGTAAGAAAACCAGTGACACTCCTCCCTACATTGAGCTAGACTAATTGTCCCAGGAAAGTAGATTACCACTGAAATGGGGGCCTGCGTTCCCCAGACCAGGCAGCATATTTCTACACTTAGATTGTCATTGGAGGTCTGTGGGCCTGGCTAGAATCCCATGTTATCTTAGGTGATAGGCATGCTTCAAAAAGACATCTGAATTGTGTCGAGTGGTAGAAATAGCACTTTCATGTTCATGGCACTTGGAATGCACTAAATAATAGCAGGAGGCCCATCAAACTTATAATACTCATTGGAGAGTTGCAGAAATGGCAGTGAAGTTTCAGTAAGGGAGAATGTATAATATTTGGCATTATTTCATCTTGTTATATACAATTGAGGATATCTACAAGCATACTATTTCTAAAAGAAACTCTGTCTTTCCATTCGTGCCATTCTCTATATATTGTAGGCATCTGGTGGGTTCTTTTCGGCGGTGTTTTTGTTTGTTTGTTTTGATTTTTTTGTTCTTTTCCTGTTATTTTTTGGTGTAGACATCATATAGGCAAACATTCTTGGTACTAGGGTTGTTTTCACCAGCACTGTGGCATAGTGGTTTAGAAGGGCACAGGGAATAGGGTCAGAGAAGCCAGGTTTCTCCTTCTACTCTACCACTTAGAGTCTTTCGAACATTGAGTGACTTCATTTTTCCATGATTCAGTTTGCTCATCCATAGATACCAGTGTTTCTCTTGTACAGGCTTCCTGCTTGGTACCTAGTAAGCACTTATATGGAAGGCGGTTTTGCTTTGTAGGCATAGTTAATCCCTGCTGTCCCCTTATGTTTGCTTGTTTTTAACTATTTGAACATTTTCTATTTTGATTGTAATCCCTGCCTGCATTCCTGCTAAAACCCATCAAGGATTGCACTAAGAATAAAATCCACCTTTTTTCCACTTCCTACTTGATATGCACTGGTAATCTGCCCCTTGCTGTCCTAGCCAACCTTCTCTCTAACTCTGTTCTTCCTTGGTTACACACATTCTATAATGAATGTTTACTTGTAAAAGTTATATAGTCTTTAAAATAGCTTTACCCTTTAAAAGTTGGTTGTTATGAAATGTGTTGTAAAGGGATAGGGCTAGGGGTATGAACAACAATTATAGATCTAAAATATTTGGCATTTTGCTCTAATATCAAGAAAAATCACATTAATTGTTTTTCAACAGGTGATAGATTTTGTTTTGGTTTCTGAACAGCCTAGGTAACATGAATTAGTTAGATCATATTTTATTTAGGGATGGTTTCAATGAACTTAAAGTAGTCAGCTGTAATCTCTAAACAATGAGAAGCATGTAGCTATGACACAGTTAGGATCACTAAATTCCACAGCAAGACACAGGCCTTGGCTTGCCTTTTTTGTGGAGTTCTTGACTATCGTGTCTTAACTTTAAATAGAGGCTAAACTTACAAGCGAACATTGTTCTTAGAATCTTTGAAGATCAAAACCCCCTATTACAAATCTTTATTCATAGTGTGATACCAAATATCTTGGCAACTGAAGCTGTTACTTCTTAAGGGCCCAAGGAAAGCTTATGCAATATTTGGATGAGATATTTATTGCTCTCTAATCTACTGGCTGGAGATGGGGATCTCAGAATAGAGAGGGCACGTGGGGTATTGGGGAAATTTTCTAGGGCATGACAGTGGCTTTGCTACTTTCCAGTGTGTATAGTGGCATGGAGCATCATGTATATTTCCTAGGTGTATAGTGGTTCCTGAGCTGACAGGGAGTTACAGAGTCATAGTTCTACTGACTATACAATTTTCCTTTATGTTGTTAATGTAGTTATATTAGTGTAAATTCTTGGAATTCTAAAGGAAGAGGAATGAAATTTGGCTTCTCTCATCTCTACTTGTAGAGTTGTGCTTACTAGATGAGGGGTGTGTCGATGAGAAAGAAGCAAGTAAACATAGGGCCTAATCCTTTCATCTCAATAATTTCCTCAAAAGTGAAAAATAAATTTTATTTGATTATACTTATTCATATCTATATAAGGTGGATTAAAGATATAAATATAATCACAAAAATGCTAGAATACAAAGGTCAATGCTTTGGGGATTAATAGTAGGGAAAATCTAAAGGTAGAAACTAAAAAGGAAAACTTTATATTCTAAAACATTAATATTAAAAGCAAATGATAAACTGGGAAAAACGAGGTAATACATGATAGAGAGGTTATAGCGTTATTGTTATATAAATACATCTTAAAAATCAATATGAATAAGAATAGCCTAACAGAAAAAAATGGGCAATTTAAAGTGGGCCAAACATTATAGAGAATATTTTGATAATATGAGCCAAAAGCCTTGTATAAAAGTACATGGCCTTGATACAATATTAACTTTTAGAAAATTATTGTCAAGAAATAATTAGAAAGTGTCAAAAGATATTTATGTCAATACTGTTTATAGTAGTAAGAAACTAAAGTGTCCTGGTTGTCTCTAAATAAGTGATTAAAGTGCAGTGTCTCCATATAGAGGGAGAGTATGTGGCCATTAGAAATGTATTTGTTTCCCTAGCTGATTTGGCTCAGTGGATAGAGCGTTGGCCTGTGAACTGAATGGTCCCAGGTTTGATTCCAGTCAAGGGCATATGCCTGGGTTGTAGGCTCAATCCCCAGTGTGGGGTGTGGAGGAGGCAGCCAGTCAATGATTCTCTCTCATCATTGATGATTCTCTCTCTTTCTCCCTCTCCCTTCCTCTCTGAAATCAATGAAAAAATATTTTTAAAAATGTATTTGTTGGCATGGAGATGTGTGTGTGTGTGTGTGTGTGCGCGCGCGCGCACAAAATTCTGGACAGGAGATTACACTTGATTTTACTTCCTTTATATGTTGTCTGTGTCTTCGAATTACTTGGATAGGAAATTGATTACTTTTACAATCAGAATATGAAATAAAACTGTAAAAATGAGGATCGACCTAACTATCTTTGGGACATGACAATTAAAGAATTGTTTTTGTTTATGTGTGTAGTAAATATGAGGCAGACATATGATTGAGCTTTTACCTTCAAAATTTTGCAGCTTAATTAACCTTGAAATGGCTTTAGAACGGCATTTCATGAAAACTATGTTACTTTACCTCTAGCTGCCCATTGGTAGTAATAGCCAAGGTGATGAGATTTGTCTGTTTCTAGGCTGGTGTGGTGTCTTGTAGCTGTGAGCACATCTGCCTTCTGGTTGGTTGAATTCAGAGATACTGTGTCTTAGTTAGGCCAGCGAGTAAGAACTCACAACAGAAAGGGATGAATAGGACTTAAATATGTGAATGCTGGTGAATAACATCCTAACGCCGGGAACTGCCTCAAAAAGCCGTTGCCTCTCCTAGAGCTTAGGTCAGACTTAACACGCCCTTTCTTTTCCCATAGGTCTTCTATCTTTCGGGGTAAAAGAGTCTGCTTGGGTGAACAAAATCTTCACAGCTGTCAACATCCTGGTCCTTCTCTTTGTTATGATTGCTGGGTTTGTGAAAGGAAACGTGGCCAACTGGAAGATTAGTGAAGAATTTCTCAAGAATATATCAGCAACTGCCAGGTAAAATATTGGGGGTTTTTCCTCCTCTTGTTCTTTTTTTCTTGGGTGTTGTTTTTTTTTAATTTACTCACGTGTGTCTTATCTATGTTACCTTTTTTCTAGAACAATGGTTCTAGAAGCTTTTTGCTCTGGAGACCTTTCTGAGGGTCTGTTCTATTCCAAGACTCTTCCTCCTGCTCACTCCTCACCCCCACCCCCGCCCCTGCCCGCCCTGCCCTGCAGACATGAATGCAGAGGTGTGCTCACCATTGAGCCGCTGGGGAAGCCATGCAGCTGCTGGTTCTCACGCTCTGCTCCAGGGTGAGGGGAGGGAAAGGGAGACTCTAACCCCTGGGAGAATGCTTTTATTTCTCCCAAAGGTTTGCTACCTCTGCATAACAAGGAGTATTTTTGAATCATGAATCCTTCATCCTTTAGTTTGCCTGTTGGGACCACCATTCGGTTTCCTTGCATCTTTCCAGCCTTGTAGTGAATTTCAGGCCTTGTTTTTTGGAGAATGTGATTAGTTGCATAAGCAGACTTGTCCTTGCATTTCACTTTAAACTAGATATTCTCAAAAATTAAGTAAATAATAATATAGAAAAGGTTTTATTCTGAGGTGTATTTAATCATAATTCTCACTTGTGCATGTAAAATAAGATTACAAAAGTATCGATTATATAGAGTGAGGTATATCTACCTGTGTTTCTTTACATGAGTTGTTAGTAGTCGCTCTGATGAAGCAAAAAAATTATATCCTCTGGTTTTATACAGTTTTTAACATGCAAGGACATGTTCAACTTTAGTATTGTTAATCATGTCGAGAGAATTCTATGTCACCTTTTCAGATGTCTTTGTAGTGAATTTTTCACTGCTGCCCAACTGTCCATAAGAAGAGGAAGTGTCCTGACTTTATTTCAGATCAGGGTCTCTAGATAGATTGTCTGTTCTCAAGGTCCTGCCTGGCTGTGAGTTCCAGCCAGAGGGGGTCTGGGCCGCGGCTCCTGCTGTCAGTCAGCCTCTGACCAAGATCAGTGTTGGTACCCCCGAGAGGATGCTGTTGTTGGGGGTACCGCTGTGTTCTCTAGGACAGAGTCAGAGAATCAGGGTTTGCTCTTCGTGAATCAGCTTCAGAGCTGATGAGCACACAGCCTCCTGAGGAGGCCGGTTCAGACACATCACCAGAAGCAGTGTCCTATGAAAATGACTTTGCGACGTTTGTTCTCCCCCTTAGAGAGCCACCTTCTGAAAATGGAACAAGTCTCTACGGGGCCGGTGGCTTCATGCCGTACGGCATTTCGGGAACGTTGGCCGGGGCTGCAACCTGCTTTTATGCCTTTGTGGGATTTGACTGCATTGCAACAACTGGTAAGAGCAGAGTCCTGGCTCCAGGTAGAAGGGAGAGGGGGCTCTTTGTACCACATGAGTACCCATGGGTGGCAGCAGAGGGTCCAGGAAAGAGAATGGGATTTGGACCGGGTTCCAGACCCAGTTGTGACACCTGCTGTATGTGACAAAAAGAAACTGTGTGAAACAACCTGAGCCTTGGTGTCCATGTTGGTAAAATTGGGAGAGTGGTGCCTGCCCCTCAGATGTTATGCAGGTTACCTAAGATACATACATCCTTTGAGAGAATACATATAAAAACATTTTGCAAGCTGTCCAATTCTTTATAGATGTTAGTCATAATTCCTATCCTCAACCTTCTAACTGGATGTGCTCTCACAGTGAGTAACCAATGATAATTACACTTTTTTTAAAAAATATATTTTATTGATTTTTTACAGAGAGGAAGGGAGAGAGATAGAGAGTTAGAAACATCGATGAGAAACATCGATCAGCTGCCTCCTGCACATCGCCTACTGGGGATATGCCGGCAACCCAGGTACATGCCCTTGACCGGAATCGAACCTGGGACCTTTCAGTCCGCAGGCCGACGCTCTATCCACTGAGCCAAACCAGTATTGGCGATAATTACACTCTTAAATGATCTCTTCTCTATTAGGACAATATATTGTGATCATTCTGTCCTCTTTATCTTACACAAGGATATTATCAGGTCAGAATCACTCTCCAAGTGTCTACTCTGGGTTCATATTTTTTGCCTGGCTTATCATCTATCGTGCTTTGGATGCTTCAAATGCCAAGTCTTATCAGAAGGACCCAAAGTGTTCTATTTTCTATTGAAACTAGAGTTTACTATAAAGTAGGTGGATTGGGTAGAAGTTTATCTGAGGCCTTCATATTTAAGGGCCTACAGAATGACAGGACAGGCGTTTAATCTCTGTGGGTGAATCGTTTCAAAATGGATTCAGACTGCCTACCTACCACTAATCATTTAATAGTGTTGGTATACCCAGTTTTTTCTTTCTGGAATTGGACTTTTATGTGATAGCCGAGTATCCTTGAGAGGAGAGAGAATTTCGTGTAGAATAGGCTGAGAACACGGAAGGGATAAAAGCAGAGTAGAATGACCATGGAGGAGGAGGAAAACGCATGGCTTACCTATTCATGTTTTATTCAACGCTGGAACCTTTTATGTTTCCTTAGGTGAAGAGGTCCGGAACCCTCAGAAAGCTATTCCTATCGGAATTGTGACTTCTCTGCTTGTTTGCTTCATGGCCTATTTTGGGGTCTCTGCAGCCTTAACACTTATGATGCCTTACTACCTCCTCGATGAAAAGAGCCCCCTTCCTGTAGCATTTGAGTACGTTGGATGGGGTCCCGCCAAATACGTCGTGGCTGCGGGCTCCCTCTGTGCGCTGTCAGCAAGGTACATTGCATTGCCCCCGGGGCAGGGGCTGTTTGGATTTCTGCAAAGTGTAGTCCATGTTTAAGAATTCCTTTTGTGTGTTTCTAAAATAATCCTGATTTCAGGAACAGATTATGCAGCTATGTATTCTCTGAATAGTTTGCCCAGAACTGCTATCTTTATCTTAAGTGATAAAGTCTTTTTCCCTCATCAGTCAAGAGTCAGTTTCTCAAGATAATGCTGGTCCAAGCTTCAGCAAAAATACAATACAGGATTGAGATAGGCATCCACATGCATATACATATGTGTCACACGTATTCATATATGTGTGTATTATCAAACTTTAGGGTGCTTATACTAGTATGTTTCCATGCTGGCCCAGACAATTGAAACCCTAGGTGCAGACTTGATATTGTCTTTTAAAGTAACCTCAAGTCCATGAGCATGGAAGCCGTACGCTATGGCATTGTTAAATGTAATGTGCTTTTTTATTGGGAAACACTGAGACTTTTCCACGTAGCATTGATCAAAGTGGACTTGGTCTGGAGAAAGAAATGACCCTTCTCAAATTCATGGTGGAAATTTGTGTAATATCTATGCGAAAATGAAAGGGTAGTTGAATCTCAAGTGTTTGGATTTTCAGTAGCCGCTTGTTTTAACACTTCTGAATTCATTTCCCAGGTTTCCTGACTACTCATATTTTAAATTGTGATCATAAGATACTTCATTCTAGTTTTATACTGTGCTGTGTAGTAGAGCATTCTTACACAGAGAAAATTTATCTCTGCCTGATTACTAATTTTTTAAAGTAAAAATAATTAAAGTTTGATATTGAATGAAGAAATATTTCATATAATTTATCAGCTTAGCCTTTTCCCCCTCAAATCTATTTTACTTTCTATTCAAGATAATATGAAGTAGCAATTAGAAATTACTCCCATTGGTTTCTTAGCCATCTGCTAACAATAAGGTTTATTCTGAATAGTTTCAAAAATCTGAACTCTGATGATATCTTGCCAACCAGTCTTAGAAGAGACGGACCCAGATTCACTGTGGCCAACTTCAACCCAGCTTTATTAAAAATAAAGAAGATGGATTTTTTAAAAGAAAACATTTTACTCATTTTCTCTTAAATGGTTCTTTTTCACAACCAAGCCATATATGGAATGGTGTAGCCAGTAAACATACAGGTTTTTCTGAAGTATCTAAAGTTTTCTTAAACTTTTAATCATAGCTATATCTATGCACTAATTTTACAGTCTTGATTATCTTGTAATCCTGGGAATTATTACTAATTTGATCAAAGATCAGGCTACATGAGGAAAAATAATGGTAAGATAAATATATAATTATTCAATAAATGAAGGGGCTATTCTATGAATCAAATTACTTAATCTCTTTTTAAAATGACATGTCAATTTAGGAATTTTATTTCCTGAGTTATTGCCATTAAAATGTCTTAATGATATGATTGCTTTGTTTTTCTTGTTAAGTCTTAATTTTTAGTTTTAATTCAGTAATAATCATGGGCATGCACAAATTATTGCATTATTGTTAGTCTGATCATTGTGCTGTGCAGATATCTGCAACAGAATAGTAAGTGCACAGTGGTAAACATTGGCAATGTTTTTAAAGGCCCAATCATAATTTTAAGAATAACAAGACTTCATAATCATAGCTGTGTGCTGCGTTTTATACAATTGCTTAATTTGAGATCTGGGATATAATCGTGCATGAATGTGTTTGCCATACTGCATGTGTTTGCTTTTTATTCAGTCTTCTTGGATGCATTTTCCCAATGCCTCGTGTAATCTATGCTATGGCGGAGGATGGGTTGCTTTTCAAATGTCTAGCTCAAATCAATTCCAAAACGAAGACACCAATAATTGCTACTTTATCATCGGGTGCGGTGGCAGGTGAGAGAGAGTTAACTTTTATTAAGAAAAGGGGTGGGGGGGGTCTTTTTTCATCAAGGATTCTGAAAAAGTATGAAAACTTAGGTGGTTTTCTGTTTTGATTCACATGAAGATCAATAACTTGTTTGCAGATGTTTCCTAGATTGGATTTTTTTTGGCATAGGTTGGTTCTGCACTTTAGTGTGTCCAGTCTGTACTTTGTATCTACCTGTCTAGAAAAATGCTTGTAATAACTCACATGGATTATGAATTTTTCTGTTCTAGTCTTCTGGGCTCTATGTTTCCTTTACCCCGAATTCTGTTTGCCATGGCCCGGGATGGCTTACTCTTTAGATTTCTTGCCAAACTGAGTAAGAGGCAGTCACCAGTTGCTGCCACACTGACCGCAGGGGTCATTTCTGGTAAGCTTTCCAAACATAGGCTTCTTCCATGTTGGACTTGAACATTTTGTGCGCATGCATGGACTTACAAGGAGGGTCTGCTTGCTGTGCATGTAAGTTACGAACAAAATCACTGAGAAATGATAGTATGGGCATTGGGAAGACACCTGAAAATCGTGGTGGCAGCGGTTTCCTGAAATTCATTCGTAATCAACCCTTTGGGATTTTTTTTTTTTTTTTGCCATTTTATTTCTTTAACCTTTGGGGCTTCTAACAAATGTGCAAAGGGTTATAATGGTTGTTCACTATATATCAGGTATTAAATGCTTTTCAGATTGAATCAGCACATAAAATTGTATTGCTGACACACCAAATTTTAATTAAAGAACAATTACTTAATTTTGGACATATTGATTACTAGTAAAAATAATTATGTAGTATTTCCTTGTTTGTCCAGGATTTAAGCTGAATATTGGTAAAGGAACATAGGGTTTTTTGAAAAGCTGAAGCTCACCCATTCTTAATGAAGCATAAAGAATGTCCAAGATGATTGGTACTTGGCTGTGGTAGTCACTGCTGTTAGAATGGCAGATGACCGACCCGCTTCCTGGGGCAGCCCTGTTCTCTCGGTCACCAAACCCCATGAGGAATCCGTTTCTCCTTTCAGCCGTTTTGGTACCTAAATCATGTGCAAGAACCCCAGAAGCTTACTTTTTGGCATGTCATGATAGCCATGTCAAAAGCCTTTGGCCAGATTTTATTGCAGTAATTTTTAGGTATTCTACAGATCAAGACAATGGCCTTAAAGGTCCTATTACAAGAATCAAGAGAGAGAGTGTAGCAAGCTTTATGGATAAAATGATAAACTGTCTTGGTGTTGTAGAAATCCAAACCACAAATGCTAATTTTGTTGAGGCTCTAAATTGTTGGGAAGTTAGGGCAGGGATGCTCATGTTTAATTTTGAGTGAAATGGGTTGGTGTTTTTTGTTTGTTTTTTCAGAGACAGAAAGTATTTGTCTAAACAGCTTCACTTTGTATATATTTTCTCATGGATTTGGCACTTCATTAGGAAACATTGGAAGGTTGAGTCACTTCTGATCTCTGCACCATAAATGAAAGTTGTACTAGATAATCTGCAGCCTATTTTATTATTAAACGGTGCCTTATGATATTGTAGTTCAAAATCATGGCAAAGGATCACATATTTTATTAACTCCATGAAAACTTTTTTCCAGCAGAACTTTGTCCAGTTATTTTCAGAATTTTGTATATTATAGATATACTGTATATTCAGAATTTTAAAAAATTTATTCTTCTTCAGGAAGAATTTAATTTGGCAGTATAACAAGATATTAAAATTAATAATTAAAAGGAGATAATTGTAACAAGAGGCTTTTTTTCAATATTTTTATTTCATACTCCCATCTTACTGTGCTTGATTTTTAATTAGATCAGAATGCTTGTAGGGATCTGTCCTTCTTAATTATGTCCTTCTGTCTTGGCCATCTTATTTTGGCCAGCTGTGATTCTTACCAGCACATTGAGGCCAATATTTTTTAAAGTAATCAAAGTAGATGGTTTTTAATAATCAAAGTAGTAGTTATCAATCTGATAACTGAGGGGTTTTGAAGTTTTGTTAGCAGTTTATATGATCCAAAAAAACATCCTATTAATTGTGAGAAATATAATTTATATGCTTTGTTTGGCTTATCATTGGTACTAAAACAACAACCAAAATGTGAGTCAGTTATCAGCTTTACGGAATTTTATCCTAGGCCGTTCCCTTCACCATCCTTTTTGTTCCTCCATAGCGGTGATGGCGTTTCTTTTTGACCTGAAGGCACTCGTGGACATGATGTCCATCGGCACTCTCCTGGCCTATTCTCTGGTCGCAGCCTGCGTCCTCATCCTCAGGTGAGCCGTCCTTGCCGTGAGAAGGTTCTGGAGGGTGTGGAAATAAAGGAAGTGAGAGCTCACCACCCCTGCTTCCTAGGAGTTAGCAGTCTCAGAGTGAGAGGCTATGGGCATACAGACATCAATATAAAGTATTGGTCCTTAGCCAAGAATCAAATACAATTGATAATTAGCAAGAGTTGGGTTGGCCCAATTCTATGTGAACGGCAGGTTTCCATCTATATATAAAAGCCTAAGTGACCAAACAACTGAACAAACTGGTCGACTGGTCACTATAACGCACACTGACCACCAGGGGGGCAGACGCTTAATGCAGGAGTTGCCCCCTGGTGGTCAGTGCGCTCCCACAGCCCACCTCCCATGGCCCCTCTCCCCGGCCTGAAGGCCAACCTCCTGCAGCCCCTCCCCCCTCCTGCCACCCCCATCACTGGCCAGGCCGAGGGACCCCACCGGGCCTCTGGTAATGTATAAAGACACTTAAAAATACTATGCTTCGCTGATACTTAACCGGAGTTCCTGTGCTGTTTTCGTGAACGTCTCCTTGGGGCATAGATATTTTCATAATAATCATCCTGTTACCACAGTTGCCTCATTTGAAACTAAGTCTCTTCTGCATCTAATATATAACTTTCTAATTCAATGGCCATCAAAGGAAACTCAGAGTAGCTGCAAATGTCATACTGAGTGGGACTGTGTTCTGACTGCACGCTCAGGGGCTGCCCCAGCTGTGGCACTGTCCCATGTCTCGCTGAGAGTCCCAGGAGCTTGTTTCATTGGGACTGAGTGTCTCTTTGAGAATCAAGACAGCCACGTTTATCTGGGGACAGGTACCAGCCCAGTCTGTCGTACGAGCAGCCCAGATACTCTCCTGAGAAAGAAGCTCTGGAGTCGTGCGCCGGGGCGGACTCGGAAAGCGCGTCCCAGGTCACCATGCTGCAGGGACCCGGTTTCAGCCTGCAGACCCTCTTCAGCCCCTCGGCTCTGCCCACAAAGCAGTCGGCTTCTCTCGTGAGCTTCCTGGTAGGATTCCTGGGTAAGTCCTCCCCACTGTGTGCATTAGAAAGGCCCAGCAGGCGTGTGTAGATGGAGCAGGTGGGATGTGAGAGAGGACACAGGGCCTCCTGTTACTCTAGACCTGATTAGCAACTTCCTGGAGCCCTGAAATGTCCATCTAGGGCAGTGGTTCTCAACCTTCCTAATGCCGCGGCCCTTTAATACAGTTCCTCATGTTGTGGTGACCCCCAACCATAAAATTATTTTCGTTGCTACTTCATAACGGTAATTTTGCTACTGTTATGAATCGTCATGTAAATATCTGATATGCAGGATGTATTTTCATTGTTACAAATTGAACATAATTAAAGCATAGTGATTAATCACAAAAACAATATGTAATTATATATGTGTTTTCCGATGGTCTTAGGCGACCCCTGTGAAAGGGTCATTCGACCCCCAAAGGGGTCGCAACCCACAGGTTGAGAACCGCTGACCCAGTGGGTCACTAGACTTGAGATCATTCTTTTATATTTTTATTTTTTTTGTATATTTTATTGATTTAAGAGAGGAAGGGAGAGGGAGAGAGAGATAGAAACATTAATGATGAGAGATAATCATTGATCAGCTTCTGCATGCCTCCTATTGGGGATCAAGCCCACAACCCGGGCATATGCCCTGATGGGGAATTGAACCATGGCCTCCTGGTTCACAGGTTGATGCTCAAATACTGAGCCATCCCAGCCAGGTGAGAGATCATCTTTATATTAGCAGGATAAATTTCTCATAATTTGGTAGATGAAGCAGACAGGAAGAAATTCATAAGGTGAGAGGGTTAGGAGAAAATTGGTACATTTCATTAGCTGTTAGGGAGCTTCCTGTGTGAAAGCATTTGGCCAGGTACACCTGCCAATCACAGAACTGGGACCCAGGAGACTGGGAGGCAGTATAGAAAAGCCGGTCTGCTTCCCCCCAGTTACATAATCTTTCCTATTTTCAGTGACATTTGTTTAGCATCATCTATGTGTCCAGAACTCTGCTGGGCATTTGGGATATCAAGAGAGATGGGTGCACTCACCGGGCTTTACAACACAGGACGGTTGGTGGCAAGCTAGGGGAGGTACAGGTTTCTCTGAGAGCACCTCAGAGGGACCCCTAATGCAGACTTGATGGTCAGAGACAGGGTCAGTGGGGGCGATGTCCCTCTCTGAAATAGGGAGAAAAGATGCAGGTCATACTGTATTTGTTTACATTAGCGGTTAGTGTTTACAACAGCTGAAAGTGGGCAGACTTGCCATTTCCCATTTGGACAAAGGGCAGTATCCACCCCTGACAATGGCCCATCAGTCCACGTGGTAGAGTCTGAGACGGTAGCAGACGAGGTGGCACCTGGGCTGGAAAAGCAAGAGGCCGTGCTGGCGGGAGGTTGACTTTCTGAGGAGGAGACAGTCGCGAGTAAGCAAGTGGCATTGCTTCAGTCAGTGAAATCCGCCCTTGCTGCCCACAAGGAAAAGGAAGAGCCTGAGTATTTGGCAAAATAGATATGTAAAGAACTCGATATCTTATCAAAATGCACTGTGTGAACCGAGGCATCTGAAAGAAGTTTGGGTGCTGATTTTGTTGCGCATACGCATCTCCTTTGCAGCCTTCCTCGTGTTGGGCCTGAGTATTCTGACCACGTACGGAGTCCAGGCCATCGCCAGGCGGGAAGCGTGGAGCCTGGCCCTCCTGGTGCTGTTTCTTGTCCTCTGCATTGCCATTGTCCTCACCATCTGGAGGCAGCCCCAGAATCAGCATAAAGTATCCTTCATGGTATGTGCGCATTCTCCCTTGGACGCCAGTTTTCCTGAGTTGTTTCTTTTTAAAAACAAAACAAAACACTTCCGATGAAGTTACCCAATGAACAGGAGTGTCACAATTCTTTGAGGTGTTCCTTTTTGCCCCAAGTATTCTGCCTCCGTTGGCTGTGTTGCTGCCATTTTCGAAAACTTGAGGGTGCCCCTCTCACAACATTATACGTAATAGTAAACAGACTTCTTGTCCAGTAATCTACAGTGTCAAAGGAGTAATTAGAATATCTTGTTTTAGAAAGTCAGGACCCTGTCAGGAAGGTCATTCCCTCCAGAAACCCTTCCACTGCACATGAGATGATCCTGTCCCATTGGAACCAAGAGCAGGTTTCAGCTGGGAGTGTCCCCCAAGATGCTATGTGTATCAGTTACAGAGGCGTGTCCTGTTGATGTCCCAGGGAAGCCCGCGACCCCAAACTGAACTAAGCCTTAAAGCCAGTTGCATCTCGGCGATGGTGCCGGTGTTCACAGGCTGGACCCCTCCTCTGTTGCTGGGCCGCAGGAAACAGTGTAACCTGGGATGCGCCCCTAGTGCTCTTCAGAAGAGTGCTTTTTTATTCGGGTTGTCCTTTTCGTAAAACTGTAAACTTAGAACGAAAGTGTGTACTGTGCCAAATGGTTACCACCACGTCGGAATGTGCTTCCAAAAATCAGAGTGTATTTAAGAAGCTGCTTTTCCCCCTTAGGTCCCATGCTTACCATTTCTGCCAGCGTTCAGCATCCTGGTGAACATTTACTTGATGGTCCAGCTGAGTGCGGAGACTTGGATCAGATTTAGCATTTGGATGGCGCTTGGTAGGTCTTTTAATATTCCGGCTTCCTCAGCCTGGCTCTCTCTTTCTGATTTCTGCACTGTGATTGGAGTAATGCCTCGCTTCCCCCTTCCTGGAAATAAAGTCCCCCCCCCCCAATTTCTTCCTTTCCCAATTTTTAGAACATCTGAGTGTTAGCTTTTCCACAAGTTTTCAGATGCCTTTTAAAAATTCAAGTCTCCAAGTAATGCTGTAGAACCCAGAGGTTCTATTTCCTCCAACTTGATAGATAAGAAAAATGAAGCCCCAAAATGTCAAAGAATCTATCTAATTTACAAATGGCAGCCAAAGACTCTGATCCCAGAGTGAGCCAGCGGATTTTTGGAGACATTTTGAATGAGCTAATAGCAATACATACATACACACACACACACACACACACACACACACACACACACACACATATATATATATATATATATATATATATATATATATATTGTGTGTGTGTAAATATTTTTTCTGATATCTACATTTCTTATTATTAGAGCCTTGTAGGGGATTTAACATTAAATTACACAAGTAAGCTTATTTATATCTGTACCGCTTTGCTTTTCATTTTGACTTCTTCAATTTCCTATGTGAAGGTTGAGGTAGAAATTACGAGTTTACGTTTGTTGTAACTCAAACACTGGGCACCGACCACCTTCAAAATGTGAGCTGAAGTAGTGAGAAATGAGAGGTAAATCTGCATTGGTTCTGGTGGCCCGAGGAGCTTGGGTTTATGCTTTTTGGCAGTCCTCCCATTGGCTCAATAAGAATGAATGTAACTCACTTTGGTGTACGTATGTATGTGTTTGCTTTGGCTGTAAATTAACTTATTTTCAGTGCCAGCCACCAATCCCACTTGAGTTGATGGGAGAACGAACCTCAGTCCGTTTTGCCCATCCCCCCACACCCACACTCATACACTTGATCTTGGATGAAGGCATGAATTACAGAGGCAGATTCTCTAGATTTGAATCCAGCTCTGCCATTGCTTATCTGGGTGACCTAGTTTTGTGCCTCAGTTTCCGTAAAATGGTGATGGTAGTACCTTTATCTGAGGACAGGGAGGGCTGGATCTTTAGACCGCTGAGGACAGGAGAGGAAATAGAATCATTCCTGATCATTGGACATGCCAAAATGCTAATTGGTAGCCTACTTCCCATAATGTTAAAGCGGAAAATTATAATGCATTTCACATCAACCCAAAACTCTCAATCCTTAAAAACAACAACATGAAAGCCCAGCAAAATGTCCATATAGAAAAGTAAGAAACTATTTTTTGAGGATCCTTAAAACATTTTCTTCTAATCCCCAGCAGCATGGCTATTAACAAACACTTGCTTTGGACACAGAATTTGGCCTCTCCTGGCGACACAGAAAGAGAAGGCAAAGGCCCTATTGAGTTTGTTTTAAATTGTCCATGTTCCAACAGTCGTTTCCTGGCGCACCTAAAACACTGATATTTTGTTCTCTGAAAGGTTTCCTGATTTACTTCACTTACGGCATTCGACACAGCCTGGAGGGGAATTCAAGAGATGAAGATGATGATGAAGACTCGTATTCAGACAACATGAACGCAGCAACCAAAGAAAAAGCTGCCATTCAAGCAAATGACCATCACCAAAGAAACCTCAGTTTACCTTTCATACTCAATGAAAAGACGAGCGAATGCTAACGCTTGTAGGAGCCGAACAGGTCATAGTCTTAATGTATGTATCCTACACTGAGCAAACCGGCAGGATGTCATCACCATGCTAACTTGTCACGGGTTTGCTGCAGACATAGTTCACCCTAATTTATACTCCCCTGGACAGCACCTCCTCAGGTGGTGGATTACACCTGGGGAAACCTGAGCTCTCTCCTAGTGCTATCCCCCAGTGTGTGTGCATGTGTGTATGTGTGTGCATGTGTGTCTGTGTTGGTAGAAGTTGTTGGTGTTTTACTGCTATTGCTTTCCATTTTTCCAGTGTTTGTCATGATTTGGGGTCACATGGTACACATACTGAAATGGAGGTGATCACTGAATCAAAGAGCGTTTTGTATGTGCGTGGTATTGTCAGGGAAATGACTGTTGCTTTTCCTTGTTAGATTTCATTAATGTCAACTTAGAACAGGCCACAGATGCAGTTCCTCATCTGGGAGTCTGTCATTGGTTAGGAGTAAGAGGCGGGGGTAAGACATGAGCCTGTTCTGTAACTTACAAATGCCAAGTTACAAATTACTTTTAATTCCGTCCTTGTTCTAAAAGTCACTTAAAATAAGCCAATAGCGTCTCCCAGATCACACAGCTGGTGGAATGGTTCATACTTTTTCCCATTATTTAAAAACGAATCAGACAAAGAATTCACTCCTCTCTTTCTACCATTATTTTGTCTTGTCCTGGAGATGAGGGCTACAGTAGCAAATTCTTACATGCAAAAGAGGAAAAGATGAAGGGATGAAAGAAGGGAAATTCCTCTGTTCTAATTTTAAAGTGCCTATTCAGATATTAGAGAGCATTTGGCTCAGTTCAAGGCGTTCAGGTCTGATTTGGCTGTTCCTTCTGGAAACATTTAGGGATGTTTTTCGTTCCCCACCCCATAGTAGTCTAGCACTTTTAATTTCATTTATTTTTAAATGGTCACACTAAAGCTATTCATACAAGCTCCAGTATTCTATCAGTGGTTGGCCAATAAAATATTTTGGCTAAATACATGATTGTTTAAAACTTTACGTTAAAAAATTAACCAAATTAAAGCTATAGAAGACAGTAACCTTTCTATGAATAAATAATTTGTTTTTTGTAAGATTCTCTAAATACCATATTTTACTTTGTAGGGTTCTCTGATAATAGACTGTTTATCTGCAGTGTGATTTGCTTCTCATGAGTTGTTTTTCTTACAAATCATTAAATGGTCGACCAGATGAGAGCAAAGGCTCAATACTTGTATAGCTGGGTTGCATTCCCGGGACAAGCGCTGTCAAGCACACCAGTTGGCCAGCCTCATCCAGAAACAAGAAAAACGTTTCTGACAGCCCTTCTAAGAGATCAGTTATTGTATTGATGCCATTAAAAAGCCAGTCGTGATCGAATTGTCTAACCAAGACCTTGTTGTGGTTAAATATCAAACCAACGGGTAGAAAGCCTGGGTTCTGGGCTGCTAGACTCCTGGCGTCCCTGACATAGAACTCAGTACTGACATTCCACAATTCCCGGGTGTTCATGGCAAAATCTGCGGCTGAGAATTCTCTTCCAAGCTGCGTGTTTCCCTGGAGAGGCAGGTGGTATAGGAGACTTGTACGGACTGTAGCGACGCTCGGAGACCTTTGCTATCGGAGCCGTGAGGACCCCTTGTACCCCATTATCAATCTAGAATAGGCCCTCCACACAGAGAACGTGAGGTACTTCTTATATGAATATTTAACTCTTTTGTTGTAACAAAATCAAGAAATCTGTTTAGAATGTGATAGGCAGCTAAAACTGTTATGCCCCACATGTTCATTTACAAGCAGAATTCAGTTAAAAATTACTTTTCCACATTGAAACACTTTGCAAACACAAATGTCTATGTAGAGATGCTTTGTCGGTGACTGTGTTTTTTTTCCTTTGAAGACTCAAACGTGTGTCTGTATGTGCAAGTGTGTATATATTATATATATATGTATATGTATGTCTGCGTATTTCAAATGTGAGTGTAAAAGTCAGTTGGGTTTATGATGGGCTTTGGAAAGAATACCATTGTGTGGATAAAAAAAAAAACACCCAACTGATGTAGAGAAAATATAATGTTTTGTATTGATGGGTATGCTTATATACAATGTTTAGGTTTTAAAGTATTTTGAAATGCACAGTGATTTTATATAGATGATATTTTCTATAGATAGATTCTTAAGAAAGCGATATTTATAATGTTTCTAAGACGAAATCACTAAACTCTAGTTCATTGTAACAGGTGCTTTCTAATCTGAAATGGAGGAGGGTAGGCACATTAGGGTGCTTCTGTTTACTTGTCTCTGTGGTACCTTTTCTGCATCTCTGTCCTGGTACATCTAGGAAAAGCTGGTACTGCCAGTGCTGGTACCACCTCCCTGTTCCTCCACTTGCACTATAACCTTTTGAACAAAATGTTGTTTTTCCTTTCTTAGGATCACCAAAGTGTGTTTTGTGGATTTCACTAGTCATTAATCACACTTCTGTGAAATCCTCTCCAGAAATCAAAAAGTACATATACACATCCTCTTAACTGGGAGTGCCTAAAAACAGCTTACATTACTTTCCTTTTTTTTTTTTTTTGCACTAGTAAATATGTTCTCTTGATATTTTCAGTGAGAAACTTCTTCACTGAAAATATTTGTATACTCTTTTAAAAGAGAAGATGGTTTGTGAATGGCCATGCAAAGGTCATTCCTACCCTACATTTAACAAGGTGGCTGTGCAGATTCAAGTTTAAAAATTATTTATGAGAAAACTTATATTAGAGCTTTTGATGTATACTGAAATGTAGATCATTGCATAGTCACATTTTCCCCAGAGACAAATATCAGGATAAACTAAGTCCAGAACATCATTTGGGGTATGTACATTATAAGAAAACTAATGTTGAGATTATATATATATATATATATATATATATATATATATATATATATGTAAAACTTGACTATTACCAGCCATAGTTGATGTAACATACTCATTTCAGAATTGTCTTCCTTCAAAAGACAAGAGCCTCTTCATTTTCCTGGGGAAAAAAAGATTTTAAATATTAGCCAAAATATTATTGAATTTGCAGGTAGTTGTTACAATATTTGGAATTCGAATCTATACTCATCAAGTTGTTTTCTCACGTATTGGAATGCTTAGCAAGGAGAATAAGGGACAGGGCTCACCCTCCACTGCTGAGAATGCCGCAGGGAGCGGTCGGCCTTATCTTCTTTCCTCTTAAACCGGGGCCAGATTCCAGATTACAAACCACGTGATAAAGTTGTGCCCGGTCCCACCTCTCCCTTCCCTGTGCGGTTGCTCACAGCGTTCTCTGCCTGATTTCTCCTGATGTGCTTCAAGTTAACACCAGCAATATAGTTTCCACAGAATTTTAAAGGGTTGGATTGCACATCATGGAGTATGAAAATTAACAAGATTAGTGTGGATTTGAGTTTTTACTAGTGCCAAAATACAATAGTGCCTTCCTTCTCTGTATATTTTCTACTTTCCTTCTCTAACATGTCCTAACCCATCCAGGGGAAATGTACCCAAGTGCAGGTAGTGCATGATGCCAGCACAGGTCATTTTTTAATGTAGATTTGGAAGTAAGGTTGCTTGCCTTTGTTGTTCAGCTGTGTTGGGTTTTTGTGTTTTTTTCCCCCCCCCTCATATAATTATGTTTAAACATTTTTAAATGGCTTTCTGTGTTCTGGGTTTTAAGAGGCCTTCTCTGTTATTGTTGTGGTTGTTGGTTTCGTTGTTGGTTTTTGTAACATTCATTATTGTTTATATATGTACACAGTTTAGTCTTACTGATTTCAAATGCATGGGCTGGCTGTGGCTCAACCCAGTTGGCAACCCTATTTGCTGGGAGCACTCTACTTAGCTTTTATTCACTATGGCTGGGGCCACGGACACAATCTCTGGTCTTAAAGAGCCGTCACTGACCACTGGGGCCCCGTGGGGATCATAAACCAGGACCCTGGGCTGGTTCCAGGATCATGCAGCCTGCAAAGTACGGGCGTCCATAGCTACCTGTTGGGTGGGGTCTTGGCATGACAGGGGAGTATATGAAGTAAAAGACTTCACATGAAAGTAAGGTAGTTTGCGGTCCACAATATCAGTTCCAAATACCCCACTAGTGCATCAAGGTAAATGATCAGGACGAAGGAACCTCTGTGTCTCACAGGAGGGATGGCTGCTTCCTGGAACTGGCACCATAGGGCGTGGCTTACTGCAATCCCTGGACTGCCACTGACAGCCTTGGGTGGAACTGCATGGGCCAAGGTTCAGTTGATGAAGCACCTTGTATGACCAACAGGGTGGTGCCTCTGGCCCATGCCTGGTTAACAGGCTCTTCATCTTTGTGTCCACCAGGGGTGCCCAGTTGTTCTATTGCTTTATCTTGTTACCATTGTACTCAATAGAAACTGTAGATAGGGCCCCAAACCCTACAGAAATTCTGTGTCTGTAAAAACCAACAGATGCATCAGATTTGTGAGAATGTAAAGATGTGTTTGTTGAGTAGGTAATTTTAAAGTTAAATGTTTTTAATGATAATCAGCGTTCCTTTTTACTTATGAAGTTGGATTATTTTTTAGAATTTGTAATAAATGAAAACTGTTGCTGCTTTACCACTGTAAAATAGGCTTTCTAATGTGACCATGTATTTTTTAAATAAATTTTAATACATCTTGTAATAATGTTGTATGCATGTGTATCACACAAACCGAAGTCTACATTTCACACTTACCTAATTTAAAATGCATTATACACACACACACACACACACATATATATATATATATACACACACACACACACACATATATATATATGTATTGATTTCAGAGAGGAAGGGAGAGGGACAGAGAGAGAGAAACATCAATGATGAGAGAGAAACATCAATTGGCTGCCTCCTGATGGGGATCAAGCCTGCAGTCTGGGCATGTGCCCCTGACCGGAACCGAACCAGGATCCTTCAGTCCGCAGGCTGATGCCTCATCCACTGAGCCAAACCAGCCAGGGCAAAAAAATCCTTTTTTAAAAAAATTTGGGAATCTTTAAAGCTCAGAAATATAATACAATCTAAGTTGAAATAATGACATTGTTAATACTACTCAGTGGGAAGCCGAGGGCTTACTGTGTGACTAACCAAGTCCTATCAGATAAAAGAAATGCCTTTACACATGCTCAGTCCTCATGGCACCTTCCAGAAAAGATCAGTTGCTCCTGAAGCATACCACCCCAGGACCACTCGAGACCCACCACTGCCCTTTAATGGACCAATCTCTCTGACATTGCTTTTGTGTGTGAGAAGCTCCTCAATGTTTCCCTGACCAAATCATAGCCTTTAATCGGCGATCAGTTCTCTATAACTAAGCAGATTTTTACAGTGTAGTGAATAAATACTTACTGACTTCAATCCTAGTTACCCTCTTGGAGGGAGGAGTCAAAGGGCTTTCTGGCAGTGGCTCAAGTTATCTCGAAAATCTCTTAAATTAGCTTGTTTAATTTTGACATGTCTTTGCGTATATACTGAATTGCTGTTCATTCTAATAGGTTGGAGGGAACGCCATGTTGATTTAAAAACTTCAAGATAAATTAAGCCAGCATTGAAAACCAAGCTGAAACAGCAAGGTATTTGCCAAGGAGGAGCTGAAAACCTCCTTTATCTAATATTTGGCTTGATGAGGACTGTGACTAGGTTTTGTTGTACCACCTCTGCTTTGGTACCATGGGATCATGTGAGAGAAAAAAAAAAAGTGATGCCCCAGGAGCTGTGTCTGGGCTGTGGGGCCAGCCAGGAACTCCCCGAAACAGGACTCCTTCTCCTTAGTGCTCTTTAAAGAAGGCCAAGGGCTCAAGGCCCACGGAATGCTGATTGTGCTGACTAGTACCTACCTGTCTGTGTGGACAGAGTGATTCATTTCATTTATCCCATAAAATATCTCAAAAAAAAAAAATTCTCAGAGACATCCAAAACTCAACCATTATCACATTATCTCAAAGGAGGGTCAACGTATGGGGAAACTAGAAATAAACTCAGCTCCATGCTGATTTACTTACCTAAAACTTTCTAGTAACCGATTCATAGCCAACTCTGAAATACTTGGAGGTACCAGCCATTACAGATGTCACAGATCCTGGGTTAAGAATTCTCACGACTCTCTACTAAGATGGGAATAGTCAGCATGAAGAGGAAAACACAGGACAGACGACACTACCAGGAGTATGATACAACCCAGGCTGGGCTGCTATCTCCGCCATAGGGAACAAGCTCATTTCTGGGCTCCGGGTTCCTTAATCCACAGGTACTACAGCCCTGCTGTGATCCCAATGGTGTTGTGATCCCAATGGCTGGGTCTCCAGGTCTCCATTATCTTCCCCAACCTGCTCACGGATGCCTGACACGTCTTCATGCAAAGACGGAGGATAGAAATCAGACCGAAAGTCCAATGTTCTTGAAACTGAAACACTGACTTCAATTGGCATTAAGTTGCAAATGACCAATAGAAGATGCTTTTCAAAAAGTGAGCATTTAAAAAGCAAATAAACAGGTAAAGCAAATAGGCACAGATAGTTAAAGGAGGAAGGAAGGACCAGTGAGTAAAGAAACATCAAAGAAAGGGGAGGATGGAGGTTTTCCGTCATTTGCATTTTGGCTTAGAGTTGTCCCTCTTCCCCGAGGCATTAGAGCTGTGACTAATGGACAGCCGATACATCACTACAGTGTGCTATCTCTGCTCCCAACCCTGGACCGCGTTCACGTCTCTCTTCCATTTGCTGATTTCTGTTCCTCCCTCCACCACTCTCCTCTCCTCTCTCCAACTCTGCATTTGCTAAGTCAATGCCTGGGGCTGCTGGCTGAGCTCTCAGAGGAAGGTGGTGCACAGTCGCTCAGAGGATGCTGTGCAGTGCTTCCCTGGACACTGTTTTTATTTTACTTTATTTTTATTTTTAAATATATTTTTTAAGTTGAGTTCAGAGAGGAAGGGAGAGGGAGAGAGAGAGAGAAACATCAATGATGAGAGAGAATCATGGATCGTCTGCCTTCTGCACGCCCCCCTACTGAGGATCAAGCCCACAACCCGGGCATGTGCCCTGACGGGGAATCGAACCGTGATCTCCTGGTTCACAGGTCAATGCTCAACCACTGAGCCACTCCGGCCTGGCTGGACAGTTTTTTAAAGGCTGTTTCTGTTTTTTCAGCCTCCTCTTCTCCCACATCAGGAAGTAGCTGATGATTCAGGGAGGCTTGGAACTCGATTGGTGCCAAGCCTGAGCCACCCTGTGTGTCCTGAGGTCAGGGGTGAGTGGATTATAAACACTAAAAGCTAATTAACGTAAGAGTGAGGTGGAGGGAGCAGACAGACAGCAGCTCATAAGGAAAGGCAACATGGATTTGCAGGGAATATGGTCATTTATCTAAAAACCCAAGACATTAACTAAAAACTATATGGACAACAGTATGGTGGTTACCAGAGAGGAGGAGGGTGGGAGGTTGTAAAAGGTCAAGGGGTCAAATATATGGTAATAAAAGATTTGATCTGGGGTAGTAAATACACAATGTAACACACAGATGATATGTCACAGAATTGTATATTGAAACCTATATAATTTTATTTACCAATGTCACCCCAATAAATGTAATAAAAAAAGATGCAAACATACACAAGTTAATCATGCCTTGGGAATTCAGGCTTCAAGTTGGATTTGACTTTGACCTGTAAGTCAAGGCTTGTTTTAATTGGCCAATTTTATAGCAATGGTTGGAGAAAGAATGGGAAAGATCCACATAAACTGAGATTCTAATAATAAAATTCCTTCTCACCCCGGAGACAAAGCACATGGGTTTTTACAGTGAAATCAAACCTATAAAAAATACAAGTTTGGCAGTTTTATTTTTCCGATTCAGAGTCATCATGAAGTTGTCTCATTCAAGGATAACAAGCCTTGGAAAGCCCCATGTTTCTTGTAACCCTTGCTCCCCTCCTGGCCGACTGTCACTGTTCCGAAGGGCTGCCAGAGTGATGGCTACAGGCTGCCTGGCCTGAACCGCAGAGATGCATCCTCACAGTCCCGGAGGCTGTAAGTCAGAGAGTAAGATGTCAGCAGGGTGGTGTCTTTTGGGGCCTCTCTCCTGGGCCTGTAGACGGTCAGGTTCCCCCTGAATCTTCACATGAGCTTCCCTCTGCACCTGTGTCTGTGTGTACACTTCCCCTTCTTACTTGCAAGAAGAACTGGGTTCGTGCCTGGTCCAATAACCTAATTCTAACTTAATTACCTCCTTAAAGACCCTAGCTCCAAATGTGGTCACATTCTGAAGTACTGGAGGTTAGGGTGTCATCATTTTTTTTTAATATATTTTTTATTGATTAAGATATTACATATGTGTCCTTATCCCCACGTTACCCCCTACTCCCCCCCCCCCCCCGCTCATGCCCTCACCCCCCCTGTTGTCCATGTCCATTGGTTAGGCCTATATGCTTGCATATAAGTCCTTTGGTTGATCTTTCCCCCTTACCCCCACCCTCTCCTACCTTCTCTCCAAGGCCCGACAGTCCAATCAATGCCTCTCTGTCTCTGGATCAGTCCTTGTTCATCAGTTTATGTTGTTCATTATATTCCACAAATGAGTGAGATCATGTGGTATTTATCCGCTCTCCAGTTCCATCCATGCTGTGGCAAATGCTAAGAGTTCCTTTTTCTTCTTCCTCTTCTTAAAGAATACCTTTCAGCATTTCATATAATGCTGGTTTGGTGGTAATGAACTCCTTTAGCTTTTTCTTATCTGTGAAGCTCTTTATCTGACCTTCTATTCTGAATGATAGCTTTGCTGGATAAAGTAATCTTGGTTGTAGGTTCTTGGTATTCATCACTTTGAATATTTCTTGCCACTCTCTTCTGGCCTGCATGGTTTCTGTTGAGAAATAAGCTGACAGTCGTATGGGTACTCCCTTGTAGGTAACTGACTTTCTTTCTCTTGCTGCTTTTAAGATTCTCTCTTTGTCTTTTGCTCTTGGCATTTTAATTATGATGTGTCTTGGTGTGGTCCTCTTTGGGTTCCTTTTGTTTGGGGTTCTCTGCACTTCCTGGACTTGTAAGTCTATTTCTTTCACCAGGTAGGGGACGTTTTCTGTCATTATTTCTTCAAATAGGTTTTCAATATCTTGCCCTCTCTCTTCTTCTGGTATCCTTATAATTCTGATGTTGGTTTGCTTGAAGTTGTCCCAGAGGCTCCTTACACTATCTTCATATTTTTGGAATCTTTTTTCTTTTTTCTTTTTCGGTTGGGTATTTTTTGTTTCTTTGTATTTCAAATCTTTGACTTGATTCTTGGGATCCTCTTGTCTGCTGTTGGATCTCTGTATATTATTCTTTATTTCAGTCAGTGTATGCTTAATTTCTAGTTGGTCCTTTTTCATATCCTCGAGGGTCTCACTAGATTTCTTGAGGGTCTCACTAAATTTATCGGCGGTTTCCATAAAATTCTTGAAAAACCTTATAAACGTGGTTTTGAACTCTATATCCAGTTGTTTGCTTTCTTCCATTTCTGTCATTTGTGACCTGTTTCTTTGTCTCCGCATTTTTTATGCTTCCCTGTGTTGGTAGAGTGGTTTTGTGTGCTAGATGTCCTGTAGGGCCCAGTGGCTCAGCCTCCCCAGTTACCTGAGGTGGACACTCTTGGTGCACCCCC